TGACGTCACGAGCGGAGCCGAAGATAGCTGAGCCCCGTAACCGGGTAACTATGCAAGGCGAATCAACAGCGGTGACGTAACCGGACAGCGTGGCTAGCAACAAGGGTGCCTATTACGTGGCCGTATTGTCCGATCGAGGCTACATAGGGAGCAGCGAAGGCTATTCACCGTCAGTTGTACTGTAACAGTCGCCGAGTCAGTTGTACTGAGTCAGTCAGTGAGTCCTGGACCTACCGCCGAGTTAGCCAGCAACTAGTCAGTTGTATTGTGGCATTTTTCAGTGTACTAAATGTGATACTGCAGATAGCAGTAATCGTCAGATTGTAATTTGGGTGATTGTGAGAGCGGATGTGAAATAAAATTCGCTATATCAAATACGGCGTGAAGTTATTTGTCGCGTTATACACCCGATACGCGACAATATCTTTAATTTTTATGAGTGTAGTCGCCTTCAAAAAACTTGCCATATGACTTAATACTGTCTGCTGTGGGCACTGCCTGGGAATACTTTCTGAAAGTCTGTTGCATACTCTCATCATGTTGCCCTGATATATTTTAAGTGGCTGAAATGAAATCATTTCAGGGAGATTTGTAGTCACACAGCAAGCCACATATGCTGAATGTTCTGACTGGTGCCTGGAGTTATGGGCCAGAGTTGGTTTACTGAAAGTGTGGTATAGGAAGGTGCTTTGTTATGATGCAGAGACCACTTCTCTGCTCAGAGACTTGATCTGTTCATGGCAAATGCACTCCTGTAAACATTCTAAATGTTCAGTTCACTGTTTTGGGAAGATTTCTTATTCAATTTTAACTTTAAGCATTTTGTCTCTATGCCATACTGGAGACCCAAGTCTCATCACCACATGCTGGTTTTCCAGAAAACTTGGTTCTAATAATAATCTTTCACAGTGTCTGAACAAATTTCCAGTCTCATTTCAACTTTGCCACTGAGACTTTTGGGTATCATTTTCATATGTTTCATGTTGATTGTCAGAGCCTACATTGTGCATACTTTGTTCATGTTCAGTGTTCTACATTTCTTTGAGTCAGCTGATCATTTCTCACTATTTAACTGTGTCAGCATTTGGATTTGTTCTTGTTTGTTTGATGGCCAGACATTGTGATGAAATTTTTACGTCCTGCCTTGAAATCTTGTAACTCCCACAAATGCCCACATGTTAAACTCAGCTGTTTACTCTCTATAAATCTGTGACAGTTTGTTATTGTCACTCTTTCCCAGTTTTTCTAAAAATTAAGAGCTGATCCCCTGATCAGGCAGTTATCTCCCCCACCCTCAATCCCCTCCCCATCTCACTAATCGCCAAAGGGTTGAAACAGGAACGCACACAGCAGAGCACCATAGACAAACCACTTAACTCAGACTGACGCCAGCTCACTAACAGTCGCGGGAGACCCCCAGCTAACACCACCTAGCAGCACAACTCGTAACTACAAAGCATGCGCGCGCAACAGGTCGTTTCCGGTTATTTTTGGGTCCCCCTTCGTATGTGCAATAAGGCTTATTGTGCGATGGTCGCTGCATTTTGTAGCTTTTGTCTTTTTCTTTAAGGCAATCATTGTCACTTCTGTAAAGTCCTTGGGCCACTCCCCAGTTTCATATATGGTGTTTATTAGTTTTGTCAGTGTTTTCAAACCAGCTTCTCCCAGTAACTTAAGCACATCTCCTGTAGCCTTTCCATTCCTCATGTCCTTGATAGCTTTTTCCACTTCACTTTGTAAAATATATGGTCCTTTCTCGTCTGTATCTACTTCTTCTTTGGGTTCCACTTCCAAGGTTTCTGGCCGATTAGGTCGATCATATAGTTCTGTAATATAATTTTCCCAAATTACACTCATGTATAATTATATATACCTTTAAGGGTAAAAAATGTAGTGTAATGCAGATTAATGAAATTATTATGTCAACTGCTGAATTTATATTATTAGATGTATTCACTCAATAGATTGCAAACAATGAAAGTAAAACTTAATTGTTGCTTGTATGATGGACAGGTCTTGCTGTGTCTAATTTTTACATTCTGTCTTAAATTTGGGTAACTCCCATGAAGGCCTATGAGTTCATTCTGCATGAACCTCCTGTGGCATTTCATCAATGCTGTTTGCACTTGTGGTCAGTTTCTCTTAAAATTAAATGCTTATTATCTGGTCAGACAGTTATCTCCTCCCAGTACTCTCTGTTCTTCCCATCCTTTGTGGGGGGAGGTTGGTGACATACAGAAAACACTGCTAACAGAATACTAAAACCAAGGAATTCTGTGAAAATTGGAATATTAGTAAGGAGACTTCTTGGAGAAAGGTCATTGGTTAAACCAAGGACATTGAAGGTTGAATGAATTTAGGGAAAGTGCTTGTGGCAAGACATTAATTGATTCTGCTCAGTATTCTGTGTCACACTGAGTTTTGGTATTATTGGTGTTATATTTTGGGTTCTTTTAAATCAAATATTGGTTACTTGTAATTGTTTTGGTTTATTTAACAAAGGAGTGACAAGTTCAGTGTGTGATGGTGATATGTAGGATAACAGTGAAAATTGAATTGGAGAAGATCTGGAGGAAGGCGGGCATGGCCTAATTTTAGGCATTATCGGACCATTTGCCTGAAGTGACTCATGTGAACCATTAGAAACCTGTCGGGATAGCCTGCGCCCCAACAGCACCTCTTGAATGAAAGTTTAAGAGTTACTGCTAGAACAGCATGTTTGGTTATTAGCTGTGTACTACGTGGGGCAATCCAAAAGTTTCCGAAATTTGAATTTTGCGCGCGAATGGTTATGAGTACATCAAAATACCGCTAGGTGTCTCCTCACACATCCTTCTTGAATCAGTGTGGCAAGCGGCATCGAGTTGAGTGGTTGGGTTTATTGTTGGTGAACGTATTTCCATTGTTGTGTTTCCGTGAGTTTGCGGTTTTGCGATGGCTGACCTGAGAGAGCAGCGTGTCTGTATAAAGTTTTGTTTCAAACTTGGGAAAACCGCTGCAGAAACGCACCAAATGTTGAAGCAAGCTTTTGGTGAAAACAGTTTAGGCCAGACACAAACTTACAACTGTATAAGCGTTTTAAAAATGGGCGAACATTGACTGATGATGACGATTGTTCGGGACAGCCGTCAACGGGCAAAACACCAGAAAATGTTGCAGAAGTTAGGGATCTGATTCTGCAAGATCATAGACTGACCCTCCAAGACCTCTGTAACACCTTGGGACTAAGTTATGGTACATGTCAACGAATTTTGTCAGAGGAACTGAACATGAGGAGGATTGCGGCGAAGTTTGTGCCACGACTGCTGCAAAATGAACAGAAGCAGCATCACTTGGAAGTCTGCAGGGAACTTCAGCAACAGCTTCAAGAGGATCCAAACTTTCTTTCGAAGGTTGTCACTGGTGACGAAAGTTGGGTTTATGGCTACGACCCTGAAAGCAAGCAGCAATCGTCGCAATGGAAGAGCCCTTCTTCACCTCGGCCAAAAAAAGCTCGACAAGTCAAGAGCAACATTAAGTCCATGTTGATCTGTTTTTTTGATATTGACGGGATTGTTCATAAGGAGTTCGTCCCTCCTGGTCAGACAGTCAATAAAGAGTTCTATCGCGATGTTCTAAGGCGTTTGAGGGAGAACATGAGGAGAAAACGTCCAGAGAAGTGGCGCACGAACGACTGGGTACTCCACCATGACAACGCACGACCGCGTACGGCTTACATTGTGCAGGAATTTTTGGCTAAAAACAAGATGGCAGTTGTTCCCCACCCACTGTACTCACCCGACTTAGCTCCATGCGACTTCTTTCTCTTCCCCCAAGATGAAAATCAAGTTGAAGGGGCGAAGATTTGATACAGTTGAGGAAATTCAAGCGGAAACACAGACGGTACTAAACACCCTAACAAAGAAAGACTTCCAGGATGCATTTTTTAAAAAGTGGCAGAAACGCTGGGATCGGTGTATGTGCTCCCAAGGGGACTACTTTGAAGGTGATGGTGCAGAATAAGATCTAGGTGCATTGTAATAGTTTTTATTAATATATTTCGTGAACTTTTGGATTGCACCACGTAAAATACTGTTCAGATCAGAGGAGTTATTACAATATTCATCCATGGTCTCTGAAGGTTGTCTTCAGGTTACATCATGTGAAATCCAGTTTTATTTATCTTTGAGGACATAACAATTCCTGTTGTACAAATAATTGATATGACTGATATATAGTGAACATGTGATAAGACCTGATGCCACAGTTCACTGGTGAGCACTCCTTTGTGTGTTTTCAGTTCACATATCTGCATGGAAACTGGCTCTCTGAAATGAGATTTTTATTTATTTTCCTCCAAATTCTTCCAAGTAGATGTCAGGATGGTACCTTAAATTGGGTCGTGGCCGCTTTCTACATATCCTTGTTTCATTAATCATCTTATCATATGAAGATTACAGTTATTTAGGATTATCTGAAACGTCAGCACCTATCTACCAAGCTCATGTCATGTCCCAGGAAGCAATAATATTGATGTCCACCGTGAGAACCTCAGCATATGTACTGAGTTCATGATGTGTCCCAGGAAGCCATAATATTCATATCCACCGTGAGAACCTGAGCCTATCTACTGAGCTCATGATGTCATGTCCCAGAAGGTGGTAATATTCATATCCACTGTGAGAACCTCAGCCTATCTACCAAGCTCACAATGTCATGTCCCAGGACATGGTAATATTAATATCCACCATGAGAACGTCAACCTATCTACCAAGCTCACGATGTTATGTCCCAGGAGGTCATAATGTTCATATCCTCTGTGATAACCTCGACCTATCTACCGAGCTTACAGTGTCATGTCTCAGGAGGCAATAATGTTCATACCCACCCTGAGAACTTCAACCTGTCTACCCAGCTCATGTTATGTCCCAGGAGGCAGTAATATTCATATCCAATGTGAGAACATTAACCTATGTACCAAGCTCATGGACTCAAAATGTTTTGATCTATTATCTTCACAGCAATAGGGTTCGTTCCACGGGTCTGTTTCATCTAAATGGTTGCCTGCAGACAGCATGTCTACTCTGTCGGGGATTGCGTCGAAGGGGGAGAAAGGAAAGTCAAAGTTTCAGTCACTCGACATAAATAATTTGTATAGGGTGAGTGAACTTTTTTCCTAATTACCACTGTACTGTAATTACTTTGCTTAAACGTTTTACAAACACTGAATTTTTGTAAATCAAGAATGTCGGAGAACTAGAAATTACAAGTATTATGTTTTTGGACATTATCCATTGTCTTGTCTATTTTTTAAAAACCGGTCCTGAGATGGATATGATGGATAATGTCTAGAAACATAATACTTGTAGCAATATACCATCATCACAAACTTTTAGATCTTATTAATTATAAATTATGTGATGTTTTTCTTGTTCAGGGAGAATCCTTAGAGCCACATCAGCAGAAGAGTACATTACCACGCAAACATGGCATGCAGAGTCTGGGAAAAGTGCCGTCAGCACGACGACCTCCAGCCAATTTACCAAGCCTGAAGTCTGAACATAGCGGCAACGATCCAGCCATAAGTTTAGTTCCTAGTGGCGGCACAGGATGGGGCAGCAAGCCAGGAGAGACAAGTCAAACAGTTACACCCACGCAACCACCACCCCCTTCAGTAAGTAATTCAGTTCCACTCTCGAGATTTACTGTTCTTTCTTGTGCTCCAGCTGTCTGAGCATTCCCACTGTAGCAGAAGTAATTGCATAAATTGAGTTTGTATTAACGTTTATATAGAGTAGTCATGCAGTTTGATTGGTTTGTCATAGAAAGTCCATCTGATTTGAATGATGGTCTATGTAGGATTTGTGGTGCACAGTGGCTCTGCAAGTCCCTGCAAATCATACTACCTGTACTCCATAATTGTACATTGGCATCCCTGTTATGTTTAGTCAGCAGCTGTGAACCAGGATAATTCAGTCGATATAGTGACATACTATGGGCTGGGCAGCTGGGGGTCGAATTCTTGGCTGGGGCAAGAGATTTTTCTCTTTTCTGTAGTGTCCAGACTGGCTCTCGGGCCCACCCAGCCTCCTATCCAATAGGTACCAGGGCTTGAAGCTGGCCACTCACCTCCATCTAGTGCCAGGGTCAAGAATGGTGGAGTCATACCTCCAGTATCCATTGTGTCTTCATTGCATAGTGCTAAATTAATTAAGCACAGATACAACTTTACCTTAAAGTATAGCCGAGTGGCCGTGTGACACCGTATGGGTACGCGAAGTCCACGCGTGTTCACAGTCTTTTAAAATGTAATTTTAAGATAGAAATTCTTGTTCTACTTACATAATTTTTGGGCACGCTCTTTATAAGTAGACAGTCTTCCCTCCTGCGTCATCTAACTGAAAGCAGATTCCGACGTCACAATTCATGCACTTTGTCCGCATGTAACTCTGTTTTCCACGCGAAGACACACGCTACATCAGTCTCGTATTAGCAGGAAGTCAGCCAGTGTTGCTGATTTGCCTTCTCTAATCATAACACTTACAAAACATCGCAATTTCAACTATCCCCCATGGCCCCATTTCACGTGGAAGAAGCCGAAGTTGATAGGCAGCTGATAAATGTCACCGATTTAGAATGCGGTACATAAGACTGAAAGTATGTAGAATCAAGGGGCCGTGTGGGGGCCTTTCTAAGAAGCTTACCAGTACTTCATGTGTGGCAGATACGTGTATACACAGAGTTTCTGAGGGATGTGACCTCACTCCTGTATACAGAAAGGTTGGAGAGCTATAAAAGCATAAACATTTCCTCCCCTTTGGCCAGATAAGGCAGTACCAGTATGAATGATGTTAGCAGCAGGAATTTATACTGCAGAAACGTTCTGTGCAGAAACTAACTGCATATTTGTGGACAGATGCACAAAATTGGGAGAAAAAAAAATTTGGAATCAGTGTAACAATTTTTACAGACTCTAAAATCTGTAAATTACAATATCTGATTCTATATTCTTTCTAGATAAAAGCAGCATTTATTTCGTTCATTTATCACAAAAATTGTAGAAATCACAGCATTTTGAGTAAGATGATTACAATTTTTATTACTCTACAATGGCGGGCATTTAAATTACCTCCGGCCCGCCGCCATTACCGGAATTTAAACGACCCGTCACTTAATCGTTAACTTTTGTTACATAGAACCTCCGATTGTGTTTTGTCTTTGTTCTTCAAAATGGTGAATAGTATCAAAGAAATGCATACTCTTTTCCTGTTTTGCTTCTGTTGGGTCAGTCACTTTACAGAGATGTATTACTTCAAACTTTGTATTCACATCTAATCACTTATTTGATTGTCGTAATTTGCGTGGGACATTTTTTGACTTAGAAATGAAGAAGCATAGTTACATAATATTGTTCAGTTCATGTTCACCATCTGGGCAGCACAGCACAAAATGAATTAAGGTGCTGGACTGAAGAAGGTATTGGAAGTTGTAAGTTTCGGACATCTGCATGCTGAATTTCTTCATGTAGACAAGGATGAGGTACACAGAGTGAATCCTCATAAGAAAAGCTACAAGTACAGCAGGAGCACAGATTTTTTGTAGGTGCACCACGTCCTTCATTGAGCGAGTGGGGCTTGAAGATTGTCATACTCTGCATTCTGAAAACAGACATGAGCAGTACACGTGGACTTGCATTTTAATCAGATTTCTCACAAAAATACAAGTACTCTTAATATTACACATGTTAATATTATCACAATTCTGAGGAATGACTATAGATGGGGTTTGGATTGGTATTTGGATTTATTGCACACTTATACACACAACTCGTAACTACAAGTGACTATAGCGCTATTGCCAATTCACACTCTGCAGTTCACTACAGCACACAGTTAAGTCTTCACCAGGGCTTCTGTAAATACAAGGCAGGAATGGTAACTGCTTGAGTGACCACTTTTTGGCAAATTCTGCATAGTAAGGGGGTGTGCAGAGAGGTGGGGAGACCTATCTTCTGTGTGTGAGTACAGAAGTGTAACTTGTCACTGTACAATTTTGTGTTTGTTAAGGTTCCTGCGGCTACAGCTGTAGTAGCTGCTGCACAAACATCTGTGGCACCAGCAGCTGTCCCAACAAGTGTTGTAAGTGGTGCACCTGGAGCAGTGACACCACCAGCGTCCAACCAGGGACCACCCCTACCTATTCAGGTTTGTATTTTAAGAATGCATAGTTTCCCTAGGTTTTGAAGTAAGCAGGAAGTTCCCGCAATCTGTTGGCAGGCACAGGGTTATGGATTGGCTGAAGAAGAGGCACTCCAAACATTGACACCACATAAGAGGCAGTAGAAGCTGTTGGTTTATGGGTTATCTTGTAAACTTGGGACGTCTTGGCCTTGAGCCAGAAATATAGTAGATTGGTAGCAAGGTCAGGGCTCTTCAGACAGCCCTAATAGGATCATGGATACACAGTCTGTGCTTGGCTCTTCAGACAGCCCTAATAGGATCATGGATACACAGTCTGTGCTTGGGAGGGGGAGGGGGAAGTGGGGGTGGAGGCTCAAAGTTGTCCCTCTTAAGTCAGAATAGAAGCAAGGGTTTAGGAGGATATCTGTAGTCTAACATCGGTATATACCATCAACACAATAAATTTGTAATACGTAAATCAATATTACTGTATGAATATTCATTTATTGCCCATATTTGTTACATGTTTTGATCCCACTGCAGTCCCCAGGGTTCGAGGTCAGGTCATGTGGGATTTTTGGTGGGCAAAATGGTGCTTGGGTAGTCTTCTCCACCAATTCTCTGCCAGTTCACATTCCCCTGTTTGCCCCACAATCACCCTCACCTATCATCTGGGGCTGGTACAGTAGGCCAGTAGTGACCACAGTACCAAGTGGACTCGGTCTCACCCAACTGAGAAGAAAAAAATACATGTTTCAATCCAGCTGGATCATCATGAAATGTACTACATATATTGAACTGTATTTCCAATCTGTACACATGCTACTTATGGTAACATTGTAAGGTGAATTGATAGTTGCTTAACATACTCATAGAAAATGTGAAGAGTGAAATATAATGAAATTGTTCATACAGGAAAGTTTTTTGTCCTTGTAGCTAATGCCGGACCACATTTATGTAGCTTGTGATCTTAAATAGGATCAAGGTTACTGTAACCACCGCCCTTGCCAATTGTTGTGTGTCTTAGTTACATCTGCAACAATTTGGTCCCTCTAACATACTTCATATTTCAAGTATGTCAGTTTGTCTCCTCAATTTTTTTTTCTAAGAATCTCAACAGACTTAAATTCTTTGTGCCCTGAGATTGTTATGCTCAGCATTTGTGGATTCTGAAACAGTGCTGTAGCCACATGATTATATGTTCAGTTATTTTCCGTTAATGTATAAAGTTTTTAAGCACATCGAATTTATTTGTATATACTTCATGTTGAGGTTCGATCAGAGTGATACCTCAACATAATGAAATTCAGGGAATACAATTTTTTAAATTCAGGAGTTACTTTGAGGTTGCATGAAAATATAATGTGACATACAGGCTGAGAGCTAGAAGTGCAGGGTAAGAAGAAATGGCTGTTGCTAGGGAACAGCTTCGTATCAGAGCCAGTCAGTCAGTCATGGCCCTGTTAGCCAAGAATGTGAGGTCAGTGGGAGACAGTTTCCAGCAAGGACAGGAACTGTAGGCCAGGGAAGCTGAGGAATCTTCATTGTTAGAAGCCATTACCAGGTGACGAGTGAAGATGAACTTAGAAGGCTTAGCCCATGCTATAGTGGATTGTAAAGAGCGTAAATTAGTGAAACAGTTATAATTACTCATAGAAAGCAATAAAGACAATTACCAGTCCAGTCTCCATGTCTATCCTCTTAAATACCAGACAGTATTTTACCTCGCTGGAGTGTAGGAATTCCTGTGTTGCAGGCTTTTAATACCCAGTGAACTGATTGTGGGGAGTTGTGCTTGAGATGGAGACTACGTTGTTGCCGTTGAAGTTGTAATACATGTTTGAAATAACAGCAGGTGCACAGCAGCGACAAGTCATGGAGCAGCATAATGGCAGGCCCAGGAGAGGGAGGTGCCCATCCCCCAAGTTTTCTTGCACACCAATCTCCACAGTTCCAGCACGAATTTCCAAAGTTGTCCAGTGGCGATGGACAGGCTCCAGCAACTGGACAGAAAGGTGGATCCGATACGCAGTATGGACCGGGGCCAAGCCTTCGACCTCAAAGTGAGTATGGTCATAATTTTTGTTCCTTATACTTCACTCTGGTGTTAGGCTGTTGGGTTATGCCTTGTAATGGCTGTTAATGCTCTGCAGTTTGGGTAATGACGCTGTATGAACCAGAGTCCCCCATGTATGAGATGGAGTTCATAGAGCAACAGGTCTGAAAGTTGTGTGGGAATTAACTCCCCCCAACCCATCATTTGAACCCCTGCTGTATTTAAATGACCGTGTACCAGACATTTCTTACAGCTTTTTTTTTTTTTTTTTCCTTTTTTTTTTCTCTCTCATCATTATGTATTTTAGAAATTACTAATGAGAGTTTTGTGAAATATTTGAGGATACATTTCAAATAATCTAAATATATTGTAACGTGTTTTGTCACTGAAGACACAGTTCAGATTGTTAATTGGTCTATTTAACGACCTATAAGTCATAACTACAAATACTTATAACACTGTTGCGGGTTCAGACAATTTACAAACCCCCACACTATCTTCAATAGTCTTCACTTATTCACAGTACAACATGGGAGCTATACAAGTGTCACCGTATTACACACTCCAAATAAGTCTTCACTGGCGGACTTATCAGTTATCACACACTATCACATAAAATCTTCTAACCGCCTGTTTGGGTCTTCTTTCCGCGGCTGCTGCTATATTTCACCAGAACTGCTTAGGCATTCCAGTTCTCTCATAAACCCTTAGCCAGACAGCAGAAAATGCACCTCAGTTCCATGTTGTGTATTTGTCATGTTTACAGGCGTTGCTGGGCAACGCTGCCAAGAGTTCCTTATTGCTGTGTAGTAACTGCGGTGTTGAGCGGCCTCCATGGTCTAGGGGTAACGTTCCCACCTCATGACTTGAGGAACGCGGGTTCAAACCCGGCGGAGGTCGTGGAATTTTTAAGGGCAGAAAATATTTAGGGAACAAGTCCTCCGGGAGGGACTTTAAGCCGTGGGTCCCATGTCATAGATTTACGGCACACAAAAAACCTCATGTCTCTAGGAGACCTCTGAGCTAAATTAGGCAAATTTTCCCGCCCAAGTAGTTTCCAATGCCTCTGGTAGAAGGGGAAAGTATTAGGTACCACTGCCAGATGAGGACCAACCTCGCTGACAGAAAGGGACTAATTATCAGATACCAGTGCCAGTAGAGGGTCGACCTCGCTGGCAGAAAGGGGCTGATAACGGGCACCAGTACCGGTAGGGTATGGAGACTGTAGAAACTAAAGGGGGATGCACAGTGGACCAATAACTGGTCTAAGTGCTTGGGGAAACCCACCTCCTCCAACAATGAATGAATGAAAGAAATGAATGAACCGCGGTGTTCCCTGTTACGTCACTGCGGGGGAGGAGTGTTTACCGACTGTGGCGTAATGATGGAAGGAGTGGGGGTATATGATGTCACTTGCAAGACAGCAGAGTTCACGTGACCCCTACTTCCTGTTGCGCCATCTATGTTACACTGCTCCCTTCTAAAGGTTGTTCATCCCGAACAGCCTAACGGTACACCCCTGTTCCTTTTTATTCCCGTTGTCCATTCTCCAACTGCTACATTGCCTCTCATGTCTCTAGGAGACCTCTGAGCAAAGTTAGGCAAAGTTTCCCGCCCAAGTAGTTTCCAATTCCTCAGGTAGATGGGGAAGTATAGGGGACCACTGCCAGAGAGGGCCGACGTCGCTGGCAGAACGGGGCTGACAGTGAGCACCAGTACTGGAAGGGCATGGCGACTGGTAGAATATTAAAGGGGGACGCACAATAGATTAATAACTAGTCGCAGTGCATGGGGAAACCCACCCCCTCCAACAATAATAATAATAATAATAATACCTGACTTCTATCTGCAAAAGTTGACACTTTTCTGACTTAAGTTTCAGATGGGCTTCTCTGAACCTCTCAAACACTTTCTGTAAGTTGAGCATGTGCTCTTGGAATGTGCGGCCTATTACAATCACGTCCAAATACACGGCATGAATCGTGCGTGAGACCTCCTAAACTGCATTGTTCCCTGTTATGTCACAGTGGGGGAAGTGCTGTTATGTCACCATGGGGTAGGGGTGTTTACCAAGCATGGCATAATGATAGAAGGAGTGGGGGTATGTGACGTCACTCGCGAGACCGCAGAGTTCACGTGACCCCTACTTTCTGTTGCGCCATCCACGTCACACTATTATACAGCACTTTTTTTTTAATGTATTACTTGCTGTTAGAAAGTGTCTGTGGTGTGGTGGTCTTGAAACAGTTCTCAAGACAGGAACTTTTTCTACAGTTCTTACTCCAAAATGATGTTCCTTACCCTTTTCCCCCCCACTTACCCTGCAGCAAACTGTGTATATCTTCATGGGTTTCCCCTTCTTCTCGGAAGTAGGTATCCTTTCTACAAAATGTCCTGTCACTTTGGCCTGTGTTAGTGCTTTTAGTGGTCATCCAGGATGAGGAGGTTCTTTCATTACTTTAAGTCTGAAATCCAGATGGTGCAATTCCTTCCCATTTTGACTTTCTCCGGAAAGCACAAAGGCATCATGTACTGAAATATTTAGTGGCCTCTTGAAGGGTTTCTTGTACCACTTTGTGCTTCTGTCATGTTTAGTTGGTTGCAGTTTTTGATCCCTCATATCCACTCCTCCCATAAACGACTTATATTCTTGTATACATCGTTGTTTATGGAAACTGCCGCTGTAGAGGGTGAAAGTGAATGACGTGGTCTTGTACATCTCTTCATTGCTGTTACTTCTTGACCCTACACAGCAGTGTATTGACCTGTATCAGTCTTTAATTTTACAATCCGAGGGCACTAACTTTGCTGACAAGCGGCGGTTGCTCAGTTGGTATAGTTCGTGGACTATAGGCCATGGTTGTTGCCCAGCAACAGATCCACATGCCACAATATGCAAAGTGCCTGTATTATATATGGAATGTTGTGTGCTCTTTCTTTGGTATGATGGACCATGCTGTGCCATGTGATCCTTCCCGTTGTGTAAAGTAATCAGACTTCCTGTACAAACTCTGAATATTTCTTATTAAAATGTTTAATAACCAGGAATTTAATGTATAATCTTAGTTTAGTATGAAGGTTGGAATAGATTGCTAATTGCTAGCATATTTGAATTTCAGCGGAGGGGAGTTGGATACAGGGTGGCGGACGGAGCACTGTACAGGCCCCGGGACAGATTCCATCAGGAGCTACTGGAAGCCAACCAGGGACTGGGGCTGTCACGGGCCCTCTGCAGCATCTCCCACCAGGTAGTGGCACATTCTGTTACAGTGACCATTGGATTGTCAGTTATGGTGCTTTGGCAGGTGTGTGGTTTGATTGCTTTGCTTCCTCTTTGTGAGTTGTTGGCGCTTACAGCAATACTTCTGCTCCTGGCTTTTAAGTGTGTTACAGGGCCTGGCCAGCTATCTACGTGGGCTTGTCTGGGTAACGTTAGGAAGTGGCTGAATTAAAATGAATTCATCCATTTGGGGGATATCATACCACGCTAAATAAAGTTCCTCATTCAGATTTGAATGACAGGGCAAGTGTTCCATTGATGAACAGTTCCTGGGATGGTTGTAGAAGCTGACACTATTCTTTTGCATGTACTGTAAGTGTTTTTGTAATGGTAGGATGTTGTGACTGAGAAAGTTTACCTTTTGACAATTTTGTTGTTAATGTGTTTATGTAGAACTCAGAGGATATGCAACTTATATCATATTTACGTGGGTAGGCTGAAAAGTAATGCACAAATGCTTGTAGAGAGCGAACAAAAACAAATAGCAAGATTGGGCACAAAGCACATTAAAGTACAGTTCTTAAGTTTCAAAAGCATATATTTATTTTTCAACATAGTCACTGTTAAGGCAAACACATTTTTCCCAACGTGTAACAAGTTTTTTCATTCCGTCACTGAAAAATTCTTCCGACTTTTCTCGAATCCAGGACTTGACAGCTGCCTTCACCTCATCATCTGAGGTGTAATGATTACCCTTGAGGTCTCTCTTGAGTAGAGGAAAAAAATAAAAATCGCAAGGCGCAAGATCAGGGGAATAAGGAGGGTGTGGAATTGGTTCAGACTTCAGGTTTCGCAGAGCCTCTTCAGTTGCGCGCAAGGTGTGTGGACGAGCGTTGTCATGTTGCAAGATTATTGGCACCAGGCTGCCTCTGACACGACAAACTTGATGCCGGAGGTGTTTTAGAGTCTGTATGTACTGAGAAGAATTTACCATTGCCCCTCGTTCCAGAAATTCGGTCACATAAACTCTGTGAGCATCCCAAAACACAGTCAAAAGAAGTTTTTTGGCGGATGGTTGTGTTTTGAACTTTTTCACCTGAGGAGAAGACGGATGTCGATATTCAGCGCTCTGTCTTTTCTCTTCCGGGTCGTAACGATGGACCCATGACTCGTCCCCCATCACAATATTCAAAAGAAAGTCGTCTCCTTCGTTACGGTAGCGCTGCAAAAGTTGCTCGCAGCATTCCAATCGACGCTGTTTGTTCTCGTCTGTGAGGCGGAGTGGTACCCATCGTGCACAGATTTTACGGTATCCCAGTTGTTCAGTAATGAAGCCGACACGTTCCTTGGATGTTCCAATATGGTTTGCGATACGCTTTTGAGTGATTCGCCGGTCATTTTGAATCAAATCGTCGACGAGTTTGCGATGATTATCGTCTGTGGCAGTGATCGGATGTCCGCTGCGTGTTTCATCAACAATTACGGCTTTTCCAGGCTCGCAACCACGACATTTTATTACCCATCGATTTACAGTAGACCTATCAACAGCATCGTCACCATAAACAGCCTTTCAACGATGATGAATCTCAGTATGAGTCACTTTTTCAGCAGTTAAAAATTTGATAACAGCACGCTGTTTAACTCGTGTTGACATAGCACTAGAACACGTCTCCATACTTCCACTTCTCAAAATACACTGGATGAACGCAACGACCTCAAGCCTGCATATGTGTATTGAGGGGGAATGTTACTTCCACATGCCACCTGGCGCGCTTCTGAAGGTCATTTTGTTCGCGCTCTATAAGCATGTGTGCATTACTTTTCAGCCTACCTACGTATTTGCATATTAAGTACACATCCCCCACTACTTTTTAAGGTAATTAGCCAAAGGGGTTTTATGCTGTCATCTCCAAACTCCTGAATCATTCGACTGAATTTACCACTGCACACCCCACAAATCACAGTGGCCCTGCTGTGTAAGGCATTAGCTGTCTTTGCCTACTCAAGCACGGGTCGTGGGTTTGAATCCCACTCAAGGCGTGGGATGCCCTATGCTCCAGAGGGAGCTACAGGTATATGAATGAATGACCCACCCTGTCGGTTTTAAGCTGCTTTTAGGATGTTAGGCATTCGCAAATGTAAAATCTAGAGGCAGTAAGAGAGGGAATGTATCAGAATTAACTTTATGTGTTCATATTGTTCAGCTCTTTCGTTTTATAATCACCAGGTGGAGATCCCGTTGGCGGTCGGAGCAGTTCGGTCCCGTGTGCTGCTCAGGGGGTGGGCATGGGCCCGGGAGGCCCAGGGACCCCATCACAGAGCGCGGCCACTGCAAGCACCTTGCCTGGAGTTGGGGTGACCCCACCACCCCTTGGTGGGCCCCCCCTCACACATATTCCACCCGGTGCTGGACCACCACAGTTCAGGGCCCTCATTCCTCAATTTGTAAGTTGGACAATACAACAGTACTTGACCAGCTGTTTGACAGTACGGAATAGTACATTTTGTTACATTAAATTGATACAGAACAGGGTGGTATAGAGGTAATGGTCCAGACTTGTGTTTGGGAAGCCCTCATTTTCAATCTCAACCTTTCCACCTCAGCTGAGATTTTTTCATGTTTTCCTCAGTCCCACCAGGCAGATTCTAGATGTGTTCCTTCAAATGGAAATAGTGAAATGCTTTTTAAGCTTAATTTTTCATACTCTGATATGACTTACCTTATTATGTTCCTACAGAAGACCAGGTGACAATTTATGATACTCAGTGGAACACCAGTTTTCTAAATGTTGGTTATCCAAACAAATATTAGAAAATTATTTTGAATAAAATGTTACAGCTGTTATCGTTCTTATTTATGGTGACTCGTCCAGTGTATTTGTAGTATTGGCAGAGGTGTTAATGGCGTCACCATCCCAAATTTCACATTTCTAGCCATCACAGTTCGTAATTTTTCATTACCAAAATGAAAGTGAACATACATTTTGTTTTGTAGAGTAAAGTAATTTTATATCCTACACAAAATCAGTCCATATTAAAGTTGCATTGAATATGAAAATCTATTACATGAAATTTCAGGTCAGAAAACTGAATGTTCCTTGCATCCCAGTTATATAGCTGCAGTGTTGTTGATGGCAAGGAATGTAAGGATAGTGTTCATGGCCTTGCACATGGCTGCGCTCAGCAGAATTTGCAGTGGATTTGAATGAGTGTATAACAATTTTGGAGTGTGCATGGGTTATAACAGGTGTTAAGTCACCCTTTCCCCCCCCTGACAAGGCATCTGTAAAAACAACCCCCCACTCTTTGCCATATTTTTCATTTCTCCATAGCATAGTCTGTATAGTGACTGGCTATGGGCTGGATGACCAAGGGGTCTAAGTTTGAGTCCTGGTAGGGCCAAGAATTTTCACTTTGCCATGTCCTTCAGATCAGCTCTGGGACCCACCCAGCCTCCTGCCTAGGGGTCCTGGGAACTCTCCCTGTGGGTAAAGTGGCCAGGGTATGAAGCTGACCACACACTTCCAACTAGTGCTGAGATCAAGGAAACCTGGGTCTATACATCCACTCCCCCGTATGCCTTCATTGCGTAGTGCTTAATTAGTCGAGCACAGGGACAACTTTACCTTTTTTACCTCTACCCCCATGAAACTCAAAAGGCGAGATCTAAAACACAAGGTGTGCTCTCCATGATTTTACAGCTGGCTCTTCCTAAGAGAATGTGTGGATGATTTGTTCGAGGTTTTAAGGTTCATATGACTTAATAGGGCCTTAAGCAGAATTCTTTATTATCTCTCTAAAGACAAATACTGTAATTCTGAATTCCTGGCACAAGAATGGAATGCATGAGTTAACGTAACATGTTCTGCTACGCTAAAATTAATTACATTGGACTCAACTTCAGAAGATCCTATATAAAATCGTNCCATCTCTACGGCGTCTTCGGTAACGTAAACACGTCACAATATATATATATAGAAACAAAGAGGCCCTCATATAAATACATCTCAAAGCTCCCTGTGGTGCTTAGTGAGTGGTAAGAAGTTGAGTGGAATAGAGGTTACTTTCTGACTTCCACCCATTTAGCTTTTGTAGCATGGTCTTACATACAGGAGATGCTTGCGTTGAATTCCACAAACGTTCCTGAGAGTAAAACGAGCCGTCTATAGCAGAATGCATGGCTACAGAAGACACATACAACATAAATAGATACTATAGGGTTCTGACGATGGTGTATAACACACAGAGATACTGGGTTTTCAGACTTTGTCCATCGTCCAGATTCTAAATAACTAAGAAAAAAAGACACGGCATTTTGGAAACTGGATCTGTTTCCGTCCTCAGATGAGGGAAGACACCTACTCTGTTGGGTCCCTTAGAAAGAGCTAGCTGGTCCAGTGATTGATGCAGTCAGCAATGTAAGGACCTCTGTTGCTGGGTACCAAGTCGCTAAGCACGTTTTGTAGCAGTGGAAAAGCAGATAATAACAGAGGCACTGTTTGAGATGGTGATCTATATTTGGTTCACCTCGGAGTTATAATGCGGACACGTAATTGATTCGAGAGTTGATTTCACTACTGACTCATTCCTAAGAGAATTTAGAAGGCAGTTGAGTAGTTGAATATTAGCTGTGGTGTGTTAAGCAGTGGACGACAGAAGCTGAAGAAGTGACCGATTTGTAAATCAGAACCAAGTTAGTCTCATTGGAAGAGAAGACACTCGTAGTCCAGTAAGGAACAAAATAACAAAATTTATATAGAGAGCATTCATTAGTCATATCTAAAGTGCATATTGTTGAAATATGTTATATGGCAGTGTTTCTTTATTGTAGTGGTGCGCCTGTGAAGATGATTCTTTTGAATCGAAACATGTAAGGTGAATGAGGACTGAAGTGTTGTAAACTCGTATGTCACACTGGACTGAACTTTTCATTATCTACTCTGTAAGGAATGGAGTCTTAAGCACTCAGTGTTTGTGAACTGTTATGATGGATTGTAATTAAGAGTAATTGTAATAGGCGTGCCAATAAACCCAACCATCCAATCCAGAACCTGTTTTATCAACCATGCAAACCCCTTACGTATGACAATATGTAGGGACTGATAGACACTGTTCTCCCTTATGAACTTTAAGAAACTGGCAGAAATACATAAACCAGTAATGAGGAGGAGGCAGCAGGGTGAGGCAATTTCCAAGTGCCATGAAATAGTGCAGTGGTGACATTTCTGACATGTCAGTTGATATATCTAGGAACTGAAATTTTTTTCTTCAGGTTTGTTTGAAGGATGAATAATACTCATAAAACGAAAGACACTAGGTATTTTTTTTTGTCAAGAAAGAATGTTTTGGAACAGACTCTTTGACGTGACAGCTGGAATATGTAGTATATATTTGAAAGCCTGTGTATGTAGTATCTTTGTAGTAATTTATTTGGCATAAAAATATGCATAATCCATTAGTTTCCTAGAAAGATTATGATTTTTTAAACATTTTGAAGCCTGTAACTTTTAAAGACTTATTCCCTCTGCATAAGAAGTTCATATTTCTTGGCCTCTTAGAAAACTTCTTAAATGGAATCCACTGTAATTGTTCTGTGACTTGCATTTTCAGATGTACAGAGGTAACTTCCCAGGTGGGTTTCCACCCAATTTCCAAGGTCCAATGCATGGCCCACCAAGGCCTCGTTTCCCATATCCTGAGAGCAGGTAAGCTGTGTTTCAGTGCAGTATTGTGGTGTGCATGGACGTAATTGCTTATGCTCACAGGATTTGTTGCTTGATTGTGAAGTTGACACAAAATAAGATAGATACATTTTGTATTATGCCTTAATGGTTAATTTTTAATATATTGTCCATGAAAGTGAATGGGAAATTCATCCCTTCATGGAAGTTTTGAATATAATGCCCGGCATGTAGTGGCCCTTCTGTTCCCCCCACCCCTTCACACAGCATATATAAAGTGAAACCTCATTTATTGTATGGAGCCAGGGTAGTGTAGTTGGTATAGCAACTGGTTACGGGCTGGACGACTGAGGCGTCCAAGTTTGAGTCCTGGTATTGTCAAGAATTTTCTCTTCTCCGTGTCATTCAGACTGGCCCTGGGCCCCACCCAGCCTCCTATGTAGTGGGTACTAGGGGCTCTTTCCCTGTGGGTAAGGCGGCCGGGGCGTGAAGCTGACCACTCGCCTCCAACTAGTGCTCAGGTCGAGAAAATGTGGATCTATACATCCACTCCCCCATATGCCTTCATGATGTAGTGCTTAATTAGTTGAGCATAAGGAAAACTTTACCTTTTACCCCATTTAATGTTCCTCAGTTTAACCCTACAATGATGCAGGAAATTTAATTCCTACTCACTCCTTGGGACAGAGGATATTTAAACATTTAAAACCATAAATGCAACATTTCATTTGAAGTGTAATAAATTGTGAAAAACTGGATTTTTGTTTTTCTAATTTTCACGCTACGTTCAGAAATGTACATAGAATCGATGTATTGATCCACACTGCTTTAAAATAATTTTTTGGTACAGTAAGCCTATAAAAATTAGGAATAATAGTATCATATTATCTTAGAAATTCAGCTGGGTGTGTTAGTCTTGAAGACATTCCACACAGAGTCACACATCACATGCGTCACACCAGTACACAGTTTTTGACACACAAGCCATTTCTGTGTTCTTGATTTCTTTGCAGTTGATAAAATTTCTTTCTTTTAGACGGGACACTGATTGTCTGGCGATTGTCGACCAGGCATTTCGTGTTCTACAGCATTAGCATATTTCACGGAGAGTCCCACAATTAACTGAATCCTGATTGACAGTTGATCTATTCTTTTCCTTGTGTTATTCCTACATATTTTCATCACATTGAGAAATTTTTCTTTCTGCTCCATATAGTTTTGCATATTCTCCCAATGGGCGTTCATGCTTTTCTCAGCTGTCATTTACCACAGAATCGAGAAAAGCACAAACATTCATTTTCATTGTCAAATTCCAAATCTCATAAAACTTTGTTCTGATTTGGTTTGAGGTAAATATATCCTCCACTGGTCATGATAAAACACAGCTAGTAACTTTGCTGCTCGTGACTGTCCTTAAATGCTAATACCCGACTGCATGATGCGTATTTATAGAACAAAGATGAATTACAGTAGTACCATTCATATAGTGGACTGTTTATTGTTTGCTGCATAGCAGTCATAACACTTCTTACAGTCAACATCACCTCTCAAAGTCGTAGATTCTCTACGTGTTTTCTCATGGTTACAGATTCCAATCTAGAAGCAGCACTGGTCAGAATATGCCTTAAGAGAATCAACTTCTCATTCCATCAGCATGCAGGACAGCACACAGTATCGATCTAACAAATTTAGTTCATAAAGAATTCCCCTAAGGACAAGGATAGATTTGTATGGTATTAAGCGCACCAAGTTTTGAGATGGAAAACTTTTTCAAAGAATTCAAATGTAATACAACTGCCATGGGAAGTCCAAAGTGGGACAATGGATATATGAAATGATAGCCTGAAATTCCCTCTTCAATTTCATACCAAAAGAATTACTTTACATGAAAAACAACAGTTCAAAATACGAGCTGAAACTTAGTGCTGCACTATGGGTGCCAGGTGCGGACTTCAGCAACCTGTGATAGAAACCACTGGCATGCCATGCATGGACTATGGCACTGAAGAATTAAGGGTTCCCATCATTGAGTGTTCTGTTTCAGTGGTCCCTGCTTAGTAATCTGAGTGTTAAATTTCAGATTTCACTGCTCTCAAAAGAAACATTAAAACACTGTTTCTCTCTCTATGTCATACTTTGACCATTATTCTAACTGTGGGGCTTTTTTCTCAATCATATTTTTGACTGTGGGGATTTCTCTCCTCCATTATTGCATGAAATGTGTTAATTTAATGCAGGTTCATGCCTCCGTCACGACCCACCTCTGCTACTGTGGATGAAGAGATAGCGCCACGACCAATTATTAAGGAGGAAGATTTGAGCAAAATGGATGACATTGCACATGATGCTGGCTGGGCTACACACGATGATATTGATTATAAGTGAGTGAGATTGTAGATAGTGTTTGAAGTCGGTATTTTTTAAATCCATCTTTCGAACAATTCTTGTAAGGAAAAAAGCTTTATTTGTGCTTTTTGGATCATGATGGTCTTGCTCATAGGAAGATTTCTTGTTACTTTCAGTCAGAAACTGGCTTTCAGTGATGATGAAAGCACACAGGAGGAAGATGTGCGCAAAGATTCACGTAGCCATGGTCATAGTAACAAAGAAGAAAAGAGGTCTGCCGAAAGGGACCGAGATAGTGAATCAAATGAACGGGAACGGGATAGAGATGAACGCAGAGTGAGTTATCTTTCCTTCAGTAACCTTCTCTGAACATAACAGAAAAATCGTTGTGAGCTATTTATTCTCTTGCATGTGTAACGGAATCAAGTGATGTGTTTCCTAATCTTCACAAACTAATGCCTGGTGCATTTGAAGCTTTTGGTCCAGAATGTTGTCAGTGGATAACTTTGCGAAAGGAGTCCCTAATAAAATGAATATGCTTGGTAAGAATGTTTATAACAGCAGTGTTCTAATTGGGCCTGCTTGAATAATGGATATCTTTCTGAGATCTGCTCTTATTTAACTGCACCAACACTTCGTTACAAGGGCTTTTGAAATATCAAACCTGATTCATGTCCTCGTTGGTGCCATCCCAGTTGCACGTGTATTGGAATGGAAATAACTGTAATAAAATTGTGTTTGTCCAATAACATAGCGACTAGGTGTTTTGACTGTTAATGTATTCGCATTTTGCCAAGTATATTTCAGCTCCAGTAGTCGCAGTTATTGTCTCTGAAGTTATGTGGGCCACTGATTTACTGCGGATGTGTGTTTGCCTTCTTGTTTAGAATATGCATGTGTAGTAGCTTCGTAAATTCTTGAGCAGAAATTTTATAGATAAACCAATTTATTCACCCCCCATGTATGGGTGTAAATCTTAGGATGATCGGCGCGAGAAAAGGCCTGAGCCCTTGCCTAACCGAGGGCCTCCAGACCAGAGATCATGGCAACAAGGACGTCCCATGTCTGTTGATTTCCGGACCCCTCCTGCACACACTGGCCCCTCTCACGGGCCTGGGCCCGTTCATGGCCCATCTTCAATGAACTTCCCTCTTCCACCCATGAGAGCTCCCCCACATCAGGTTTGTATATGCAAGTACCTTAGCTTATTCACAAACTTAGATGTAAGTTTAACATACCATCTTCTTTCCTTTTGATTAGGTACTGGATGCTTAGGATTGGACCCTGCTGTCTTGTAATGTGTTTTGCTTTGTTTGTGTTTGTAAGACATGTATTGCGTGCACAACAGGGCCACGCTGCTGGGCCTAGGGCAGTGGAAGACGAGGAGATCTGGCGGGAGAGAAGGCGACAGCAGAGTGAAGAAGTAGCTATTGCAGTGGAGAGGGCAAAACAGAGGAAGGAGGAAGAAGAGAAGAGATACCAAGAGCAGCTGAAACAAGTAAGGGAGAGAGAGAGAGCAGGGGTGTGTGTGTGTGAGGGGGGGGGGCTTTCTGGTTGCATTAAGCCCTGGAACTTCTGTACAGTCCACACAGACTATGATAAAAGGTACAGAGAAGTACATTTATAAGGGCTGTAGGTGCGCTTTTGCACATAAAAGTTTAATGATAGTTCCATCTAGTATGTTTTCATTTATTGCAGCCATTGTTGCACAGTATGAAAGTGTTATTAAGTGACCCACAGGAAATAAGATCCTACCAGAATCAACTGAGATTTCTTCTCAGTATGGTGCACTCTCCTGTCTTACAGACATTTGGTAGTATGCTGTTACGTTAATCATAAGACAGGACCAGAAAGTTTAATGAGTATAAATTTGCCTGTACAGCACTTAAAAATGAATTTTATTTCTTTTGTGTGAAATGCAAAACACAAGATCCCCAAACATTTTTAAGTAGTGGTTACTTATGCACATGGATTGTTCTTGTTGTAGGATGTGTGGATGGCCATTGGTTGGCCTGTGCAGGTTCATGAGTGCATTTCAATTACAGTATAATCTTTTTTAATCTAATAGTCGTTCATTTCTTAACCAGGCCGCAAATAAGAAGTTGCAGCAGTTAGAAGAAAAGATGAGAGTTAAAAATATTGACAGTAAGGAACACGTAGACGACACTCCTGTTCCTGTACCATTGCCCGAGTGGGAGAAGGAGCGAGACAAAGAACGGGAGAGCCGTGACAAGGACAGGTCACGGACCAGTAGTGAGGGTCGTGATGAGAAAACTGTTCGTGATACAAGGGATACAGGTTCTGACTTCAGGCAGCTTACACAGGTATGTTCCATTTAGCATTTATAATGAATACTGTCTTTGTTGAAGGTTTAGTCATTGAAGGAGTGTGTAGTTATGTATACTAGAGTCAGGCCATGGATAGCTGTTGCATGGGCGTTGGGGATGATGGCTCTCGCCATTACATTTATATATTTGAAATAAGAAAACTATTCATGTCATATACTTCAGCTTGAAAAATAATCTCTATATTATGCAGTTACATGCATGCTTTATCTAAATACCCAGCCAAAGAGTGCACAGAGAAAGACTCAAGAGTCATGTAATATGAAGGGACCTGTTAACTGGGATATGATGCCATGTAGGCATTTGAAAGTCAGCATTTCTGAGAAAAATGTCACCTCCGTTTTCAAGGTTGAAGAACAAGCAAAGCAAGAGATGATCACTGCTATGAGGACCTCAGGTCATACAGCATATCATGTAGTTAGAAGTTCGTATTTTCAGCCTTGAGCTAGTTTTTCTTAGGTTACTGCATTATACCAGATGTTTGAGCAGTGTGAACATGAGACTGCAGAAGCACATTGTATTCTGCAGTTCTTACAAGTGAGAAATTATCCTTACATAACTTCAAATGTGCATATGGGTGATTGGTTGAGTGTGTTGTAGCTCTTGCATCTGTCTGATTTTACATATATAATATATATACATATGTATAATTTTTCCCCCTCTAGATGGGAGATCGGGCTACTTTCTTGCGTGCCGATCGAGATGTGCTGCGTAGTGAGAGAGATCGAGAGAGAGATCTTCGCAGTGAGAGGGAACGTGAACGTGACATACGTAGTGAAAGGGAGCGTGATAGGGATCGTGAACGTCACGATCAGCAACCCATGTTTTCACGCCAGTTCCAGAGCAACTTGCCACCAAGGTTCCAGAAACAGCAGGCTGAGCGAAATCAGCATCAGTTCTTACGTGTAGGTTCAGGTGGATCCTCAAGTTCCCCTCAACCACTTCCTGGAACTGGATCATCATCCCAAGGAGCTTCTTCATCTCAAGTTTCCCCAGCTTCACAAGGGCCACCATCAGCACAGATCTTTGACCCACGTTGGTCTGGACCTTCTACTCATGGAGGCTCTGCAATTCATTTCCCAGGATCACTGCCAGGTGAGTACAAAAATTGTTACCATTCATGAGTTGCCTGGCCCATGGGTTAAAAGGAAAAGAAACTTTGCTTTAGTTTTGTAAATATCGTAACTGATAGAATGTGCAGTGAAATCCATTGGCACCCTGCTCAAGAAGTTCAGGGTTTGATTCCTGCAAAGGAGTTTGTTTGGGGGATTGAGACCCAGTTACATAAAGTGACCAGGATGAGAACTTCACCACTTCCATGCAGTGACAAGGTTAAGAATTTATGGAGCTTTTCTTTCATTGCCCATTCATTTTAATGGTACAGTGATATGTAACATACACAGAGCATAGATATACAGCCTGGCCAGGTTACAGTTAGTAATGCTGTTTATTTTAATGTGCAAGTTCCTCCTTCCAATTCAAGAATGCAAAGTGAGAGGTATGATTCCACAATCTTATGGAAAGTAGACATGAATATCGTGATAGGCATGAAACATGCATGTCCATATCCTTAAAGTAGCAATTTTTATATATTCGTTTTTACTACCATTATCATACAGTTTTAAATTAAAAAGGTAAAATTGAAAGTTTCAGTATAATAGGCCATGGTGCAACATCTGACAGTGAACCCAGTTTCCAAAGACATTGCTGGAGACAAGTGCAACAAATCCAACCCCCTCCCCCCCCATCTAATAGTTACACAATAGTAAAACACATGACAGTATTCTGATCTGCCTTTACAGAGGGCTAATTACTTTCTACAGTTTTTGTGGTGACTGGCGAGTTATATAAGGCAGAAGTGGGAGACTGATCTAAATTGTTGAACTTTTTCTTTCAGCTGCCACTGCTAACCTTAGTGTAAAGTCTGGTCCCCCTCGTCGTCACGCTGATAGCGAAACGTCAGGATCAGATAGGGAAAGAGACAGAGAACGAGACCGTGACAGGGAACGTGATAGGGACGTTGTTGAAGAGAGGCCTCCCAGCAGAGATCCACGGGAGCCTCGAGACAGGAGGGAACGGCATACCCCTGAGACCCATGAGAGGGACAGGTTTGTATGATGTGGCTGACATGAAGTTTCTGTATATTGTTGTACCTTGAATTTAGGTGATTTGTTACATGTAGTAGTAATTGGAATACAAATTTTCATTGTAATAATTTAATGGAGATATAAGATGGGATTCTTCCCATAGGTATAGACACGGTGGACGTGATCGGGATCACAGAAACTACTCAGAGACGAGCAGCAGCAGTAATCGCAAGTTGTCGGGTTATTATGATGGACCATCTGATTATGGTCGGAGTTACAGCCGTAGCACATTAGACTATGACAGGAGCCAAGATTATGATCGTAATAGAGACCGTGAACCCGAACCAGACCTGCGAGAGACTCGGGATTCACGCGTGACTGAGAACCGAGATTCAAGGCACCCACGAGACCTCTGGGATCGAGACCGTGACCGAGATAGCCGTCACTATGATGACCGAAGGGATGTGGGTGATTCTAAGAAAGAAGCCTTTGAAAGACATGTAAGTATATGAGTGTTGGACTTTTCATCATGAATTTATATACTAAAGAAAGATATCTGCAATCATCAGCATTTAGTTGGCCTGAACACTACACGTTTGTAAAGGAAAATGTTCACATGGATTTCTCCATGTGTGCTAGTGTAAGCTGATAGTTCCTTGAAGAGTGCCGTCTTCTGGGATGCTCATACTGGTTCCTCGCTCACATATTTTTGCTTTTTCTTCTACCCCGAAGATGGAGGCAATACAGTCCTCCAAAACGTCGGTTTATACCATATCTACATGACGCCACATCCCAGAAGACAGCATTATTCATAGTCACCGCCATGAAAACCTCAAATCTTGATAGTTTCTTTCTTTTCTTTTTTCCCCTTGCAAGAGACTTTTGTGAAATATTGTCAGGCAGTTTTGATTATTTGCAGTATTTATGCATAACAAAATGCACCTAAATGGCTTTGTCATCTGCAGTAGAACCTACAAACCTACTGATGTGATTGCATTCATACAGTGCCCACCTGCCTAAAGTGACCAAAATTCAATGGACCAGACAAGAAGACGACGACGACGATGATGATGATGATGATGTCTGAGGGGAGACAATCACTGGGATAAGTGTCAGATTTGAAAAACAGTGTGCTCATTGTGATGCCAAAATGAAACAACACAGGTGTTAACAAACCACTGCAAACAAAATATTTTAAGGGATCTTAGCACATTGCGGACCGGTGGTTTAAACATTTAAATCACCCTGGGGACCGGCGTTTTTAAACCTACCACTGTTCACTTCAAAAATTAATATAAAATCTCCTAATTAATTTTATGAACTGAAATTTTTGGAGAACACTTACCAGAGCTCCTAGAAGTGCTTGCGCGTGTGATATCTCTGGAAACAGTCCCCTTTGTGAAGAGGCATTACGCAGAAGTTGCACATGTAGGCAATTCTACTCTTCTTCTTGTGCTCTGTGTACACACAGCACTGCCTAGAAGGGTGTTTCTTCTTGCAATATTCACTCTTCACAATTTTCACGAGAATATGTTTCCGCATATCACCCGAGAGTCGGCCAGGGGGGTCTACTTGAGGCCTCTGGCGGGTGCGAACAGATGGCCCCTGCTGCACTACGTCTGTATCTGACGCAGGTACTGCCGCCACCGTGACGTCAGTAGCCCAAGCTTTTGCCAGTTTCAACAGAAATGCTTTGTATTTCAAAGTAGAATTTGTGTTTACCTTTTTGAAAACCGAAAATGAATTTGAAAATTGCACAGTTTATAAGCCACAGTGTAACTTTCTTCGTCCATTTTACTGTTTTCCTAGGAAGGGAATAATAGGCCAAGAACTGGTCAGCCCTATCAACTCCTTTCATGAACATATTATACTCGGAAATACAAAGAGGCTTCTTTACTTGCCTGTGTCGTCTTTGAACATCGACCATGCTCGAATTGTGAACAGTGTAGACCATATTCACAAAGCGAGTATCCCTCCTGGACTGAAGAAGAATGTCCCCCTTCCGTCAAAGAAACTATCTCCAAAAAACAGTGACGCAACTTCAGACACGTCCGTTGGGTCCGATGTCATCTGCTTCACCCCCGGATCCCCAGTAAACTTTCCCAAAGTGGGGGTTTTGTCCACTTTATCCCATGTAGCTGTTCCGACACTCGCACTTTTCAACGGAGCTCTCACTTTCACTTGACACATTTTGGGCAGCCCTGTGGCCCCCGTCACTGTCACTGATAATGGCCTCGCTATCAGAAGACGAAGCAGTTGGCAAATCTGATAGCTCATCGGAGAACATATTTAATGTTGCCTGTCCTCCAAGACATCGCAACTGCTTTCATCTCTGAGCCATGTTGAACTGGTAGCTGCGTGGTTCATACGTTCAAGCTTGGATTAGAACAAAGCCAATTTTGTTTAGGTTGTGACAGGAAATGACTCTGGTCACGTTACTAGATAAGGCAGCAATCATTCCCGAGGTCATCTACGCAGTAGTTACGATTCAATGAAGCCACACAGCGATATATAGC